AGAAGGTGAATTATGCAAATCAGGTTGAAGAAACTGGAACACTGTTTTATGCATGCAATGCCATGACAGGTGTTAAATTGAACAATTCTTGGTATGTGGACAGTGGTTGTAGTAACCACATGACTAGAGATGAAAGGCTACTGATAGACATTCGAAGAGATGTCACTTCCAAGGTGAAAATGGGGACTGGAGAGACAGTTCAAGTTGCAGGAAAAGGCACACTTGTGATAGAAACCAAGACAGGCAGAAAACACATTCAAGAGGTGATGTTGGTGCCTGGTTTAGAAGAGAATTTGCTCAGTGTTGGTCAGATGATGGAGCATGGGTATTGCTTAGTATTTGGAAAGGGATTGGTGACAATTTTTGATGATTGGTCACTGCAAAATCCTATAGCTAAGGTTCAAATGACTAGCAATAGGTGTTTCTCTCTCACAATGGTACCTGCTACTCAGTTGGTGCTGAGAGCAAGTGTGACTCACAGTTTGCAGACTTGGCATAAAAGGCTGGGGCATCTTAATGATCAAAGCATCAGGACGTTGGCAAATCAAGACATGGTTCATGGACTGCCTAGTCTGGAGAAGGACTTTGGAGTTTGTGAAGGCTGCAAGCTAGGAAAGCAACATAGAGATTCATTTCCTGCAGAATCTACTTGGAGAGCTCAGTTTCCACTTGAATTAGTTCACACTGACATCTGTGGTCCAATGCAGATTGCATCAATGTCAGAAAATAGATATTTCCTATTATTCATTGATGACTATACAAGAATGGCTTGGGCTTATTTTCTCATAAATAAATCTAATACTTTTGAATGCTTCAAGAAGTTCAAAGCAATGACAGAATTGCAGAGTGGACACAAGGTGAAATCACTTAGAAGTGACAGAGGTGGAGAATTCATGTCAAATGAATTTCTTGCATACTACATTGAGGCTGGAATACAAAGGCAGCTGACTGTAGCATATTCCCCTCAGCAAAATGGAGTTGCTGAGAGGAAGAACAGGACTGTAATTGAGATGGCAAAGTCTATGCTACATGAAAAGAGTCTTCCATATGAGTTTTGGGCAGAAGCTGTTCATACAGCAGTCTATCTTCTCAACAGGTGTCCTTCTAAGTCCCTTAAGAAGATGACACCATTTGAGGCTTACACTGGAAGGAAGCCAGGTATTGCACATTTGAAAGTGTTTGGATGTCTATGTCATGTGCTTATTCCTTCTGTTTTGAGACACAAGTTGGAAGAAAACAGTCACAAATGCATTTTTGTGGGCTATGGATTGTGTGAAAAAGGCTATAGACTGTATGATCCTAAGACTAGAAAGATTATCTTGTCTAGGGATGTCTATTTTGATGAAGAAGCCTCATGGAAATGGGAGAATCCTAGCAATGCAGATGTGAGAATGCCTATGCCAGATGGAAATCAAGGTACTGCAGAAACTGAACAGAGGGTATTAGATGAACAAACTCAGTTTTTGGATACTCAGATGCAGATGGAAGAAGAAATTGCACCTCAAGGGGAAGAAATGCTTGATGAGACTCAAATGTTTGATCACACACCTCACAAGTGGAGGAGTATTAATGACATCATGGCACAATGCAACATGTGCATTGTAGAACCTGACAGCTTTGAAGAAGCAGACTTGGATGAATCATGGAGAAGTGCAATGGAGGCTGAATTGGAGATGATTGAGAAGAACAATACATGGAAATTAGTTGACAGGCCATTTGAAAAACCAGTAATCGGTGTTAAGTGGGTCTACAAGGTCAAACTGAACCTAGATGGTACTGTGCAGAAGAATAAAGCTAGGCTAGTGGCTAAAGGCTATTCATAGAAGCCTGGAATCGACTATAATGAGACATTTGCCCCTGTGGCAAGACTTGACACCATTAGAACCTTGATAGCTCTTGCTGCACAAAAGGAATGGAGCTTATATCAATTGGATGTGAAGTCTGCCTTTCTCAATGGCATTCTAAAGGAGGAAGTCTATGTTGAGCAGCCTCAAGGATATGTTCAAGAGAGCAAGGAAACCAAGGTCTACAGGTTGAACAAGGCTCTATATGGACTGAAACAAGCCCCAAGGGCATGGTATGATGAAATAGATGCCTATTTCAACACTGCAGGTTTTAAGAAGAGCTTAAGTGAAGCTACTCTCTATATCAAAACAAGTGACACTTCAGGTATTATCATTGTCTCACTTTATGTAGATGACATTATATATACTGGAAGTTGTCCTAAACTGCTTGAAGATTTTAAACAAGATATGATGCAACACTATGAGATGACAGACTTGGGTCTGTTGCACCATTTTCTTGGCATGGGAGTGGAACAAACTGATAAGCATATTTTCATTCATCAAAAGAAATATGCCATGAAAATCCTTGAGAAATTTGGAATGAGAGACTGCAAGTCAGTGGCAATTCCATTAGTGGTGAATGAGAAACTGTGTAAGGGAGATGGAAGTGAAGCAGCAGATGAAAGTGAATTCAGACAAATTGTAGGCAGCTTGCTTTATCTGACTGCTACAAGACCAGATGTCATGTTTGCATCTAGCTTGCTTGCTAGGTTTATGCACAATCCCTCAAAGAAACACATGGGAACTGCTAAAAGGGTGCTGAGATACATACAAGGCACATTAGACTTTGGAATTGAGTTTGCAAAAGGGAAAACAGTTACTCTAATTGGGTACTGTGACAGTGACTGGGCTGGGAGTGAGGATGATATGAGGAGCACCTCAGGATATGCCTTCACACTAGGCTCAGGCATGTTTTCCTGGGCTTCCATCAAGCAAAACACAGTTGCTTTATCTACAGCCGAAGCTGAGTATGTGAGTGCTGCAGAAGCAACTTCACAAGCTAAGTGGCTCAGATTTGTGCTTGAGGATTTTGGTGAAGAATAGGTAGAAGGGACTCCAATTCTATGTGATAACACCTCTGCAATTGCAATGGCAAGGAATCCAGTTCTTCACCAAAAGACAAGACACATCAGCAGGAAATTTCACTTTATAAAAGAAGCCATTCAAGCAAAAGAAATTGAACTGGTGTACTGCAAGACAGAAGATCAGATAGCAGACATTTTGACTAAGGCCCTGCCTAAGGATCGGTTTGTGAGGTTGAGAAGCTTGCTTGGAGTCAAATCAGCTAAAGGATTAGAAGGGAGTGTTGAAATATAATCCTTCTGCAGATTTCTTAGAGCTGAGGTCATTTTCTATTTTTGTTATGTCTATTTTAAATGATGTAATGAGAGCCATTAGATCATAGTCTAGGTGGATTCTCTAGCTTAGATTTGGTATGACAAGTGTAATCACCTCATAGGGTGACAGCTGTAATTCTGTTAGAAGAGAATCACATTTCTCTCTCTGTCACACACACTATGTAAGCTGCAGATTGTAAGAATTCAATAGAACAGTGCCTTCCTCATTTTCTCTTCATTCTCTCTAGCTAAAATCTCCAGAATATACACCTTTCCTAATCTGCAAATTTATATAAAAACATAGAATTCTAACAGGTACTAGTTGTATTATCCTTTGCTGCCTCATTGTATTATCTTCTGTAACCAACAAATGCTTTTCTGTTTGCAATATAATGAGTACACTTATGATTTGCAGAATCTTGAGATTAAGAAAATAAATGATGAGAAAAAAGCAGCTTTGGCTGCACAATCAGCTGAAGCCACACTTCGAAGAGTTCATGCTGCACAAAAAGATGATGAAATGCCCGTAAAACAACGGCTTGAAGAAAGGAGATTTTTTCAGGCATGTTACAACTTCAAAGCCACCTCATCATTTCTGCATGCAATTCCTTTAATTTGTACAAATAGTCATTTGCTGGATGAGGCAACTGCATGGACCTAGTAATTATCAATTAACATGCCTCGTCATCCCAAAAAGAAAGCATGAATTGGATTTTTTTCTTCTTTAAATAGTTCTAAAAGTATTTAATGATCATCTATGTTAATCCAAGAGGTTTAACATATGGAATTATCATCTAGTACCATAGATGACCTGCAATGATTATTGTTCCTATTGTGAAGATGCATATAGGATAGTGATAGAGACTACCCTGTATCCAGAACCTTAAAACAGATATCCCATCTGGAAAATGGTTCTTTATTGCATGGACCACATATAATGTTTTCCCAAAAATATTTGCAAATTGAGTAGTTGCTAGAAACGGGATATGTGTGTGTGTGTGTGCGCATGTCGGTGTTCTAAGATGGTTTGTTTTGCCTTAAGAAGTGGCGGTGGAAGTGAAAACAGATCAAGAACGGAACAATTAATTTTATTTGAGATTTAAAATGAAATATTTGACATGATTTTTGTAGGGAGAAATGCAACAACTTCGAGACAAACTGGCAGTAGCTGAGCGTACTGCAAAGGCAGAAGCACAATTAAAGGTATGCTAACTGTTTTGAATTTGGTCTGCTCTGACAAGTAAGGGTAACTGTTTCTTATTATGTGTCTAAGCCTCATCTTAACAGTTGAGCATCAATTGATTTCCTAGGAAAAATACCAACTAAGATTCAAGGTTTTGGAGGAAAAGTTTAAAGCATCGAATGGAAAATCACGCCCATCCTCAGATGCCAGAGTCATCGGCAATGGGCCTTCAAGGCGTCAGTCTCTTGGTGGAGCTGAGAACTTCTCTCGAGCGTCTTCTAATGGCTATCTATCTAGGACAAAATCAAATTTACAATCTGGTTTCAACCGTTCCAACACTGCTACTGCAATATTGAAACAAGCCAAGAGTTCATCTAGATCGTTTGATGGTGGTAGTAGATTGCTAGACAGAGATGTGGCTTGTTAGAGGCTTTTCAAGGAAACTGCAGATATGTTAAAACTCTGAATACAAAGATATTTAGTCAAATACCCATTCTTAGCACTAAAACTATAAATAAACCCTACACCATTTAATTTCTATAAACAAACCCAAAAAATGACAATTGACCCTATTTAATTTAATTTTGATTATTAAATTACTTTGATGCCCTATTGAGTGTTTTGGGGCTTTTTTTTATGTTTTGGGGTTGGGTTTGTTTTGATAAATCAATGACAGTTTTGTAATTTAAGAGAAGTTAAAAAAACCTTTTTATTATGTTGTAAATGGGCTTTGGGTGTGTTTCTAAAGTCCATTTCATATAAGGTATTTTTATAATTTGGGCTCATATATTGGGTATAATAGTGAATCTCCCGTAAATAGTTGCTAAGAGTAAATAAGGGACACTATCAGATTAATTCAAATAAAAGACTTCAAATTTTGTTTTCGATGACGTTATATTCTTTGAACGATGAGGAAGAATATTCCATACAAGGGTTACATAGCAAATCCTTGTAAGGCAGCTTATCTCCTTTGTCCGCACAAAACCTTTTAGGGAGATTCAAATTTGAAGTCTTTTATTTGAATTAATCTGATAGTGTCCCTTATTTACTCTTAGCAAATGTTTTAAGTGGTGTACAACGGACTACTGAGGGTCATTACTAATTTGGTCCGACACCAATATTATTCTAATTTAATAATTCAGGTATAATATTGTGAGTAGAATTCGACTCAATGGACTCATCCAGGTTCTATGTCTGGGGAAATTGGCTCGGGTTGGAGGTTGATAGGGTGGTGGGTTGTTGTTGGAGAGAGAGGAGAGAAGGTGGTAGAGATTAGTGCATGTGGTAGATTGTGATCTTATAATATTACACAAACACCATTGGCTTATGCATACTGCTTGATTTGTAAATTATAAACAATTTTCATTTTTGATAATGTCCTCATTTGAAATTCGTAGGATTTTGAGAGTTTTTAAATAAATAAATAAATAAATAAAAGAAACATAGCAGGATCTCTTGTTCCATATCTATGACGAGTTATTTACACTAACACCTTATGAGGTTTCTTGTGTTTTAACAAAATTCCTTCATGTTTAAAAAATTACATGAACACATCCTGAGGTTCCAGTTTGTTTTCACAAAACCTCTTTTCGTTGATTGTTTGTCCAAAAATTGATGATTTTATTGAATTTTTCTTATGCAAATGACAAAATTAACCTCAATGAAGTATATGCAATCTAATCTCAAAGCACAGTTTGTCATTTGGAGAATATTTTTTTTTTTGTATAAAATCATCAATTTTTGGATGAAAAATCAATGAAAATGAGTTTTGTGAAAACAATTTAAAAACTCAAGAGATGTTCGTGTAATTTTTAAAACCTCAAAGAATTTTATGAAAAGCCCAGAAACCTCAGAGGATGTTTGTGTAAATAACTCTTCTATGACTAAGTCAAATAGTTTATTTGAAAAATACGCGATGCAAGTATTCTTTTGGATATTATTTGTGCTACTTTAAACTTCAAAGTCATTATCTGGCTTAAGTGGGTTGAACTATTTACCCCACAACTCAACTTGACTTCTTAAACTTCAAAGTCATTATCTAGCTTAAGTGGGTTGAACTATTTACCCCACAACTCAACTTGACTTGGAAGTCTTTGCAGTGTCATTGACAGTATTTTATCTTTATCAGAGACTTGGAAGTCGTTTATGGAAATTTTTTGTTCTTGGTCGCGTGTCTGCGACGCATAATGTTGCAGACTCATATCTGTATAAAGGGCATCTTTGTACTCCTTAATCTTGCAGACTCATATCTTTTAGTCCTACAGATCATCCCATTACATAAAAATCATGGGTCACTGTAGTGTTAGTGCTTCCATCCAACTTGTCTCACTAATTATACTGTCAGGAATTTTATCCCTTGAAACCATTAAACTTGGTTTCTGCAATAATGATCATAATGTGGGATGCATAGATATAGAGAGGAAAGCCCTTCTCAAGCTCAAAAAAGACCTCACGGATCCTTCTGGACGGCTTTCATCTTGGGTGGGAGAAGATTGCTGCATATGGAGTGGTGTAGGCTGCAACAACATAACTGGACGTGTCAACAGGCTCGATCTTGGCAATCATGCATTTGGTGGTGAGATCAACCCTTCTTTGCTTGTTTTGAAAGATTTGGACTACTTGGATTTGAGCATGAATTTGTTTGGAGGTGTCTTTCCAAGTTTCATTGGATCACTAGAGAAACTGAAATACCTCGATCTCTCTGGTTTATTTTTTGTTGGAGTCATTCCCCCCAATCTTGGAAACCTCTCAAGGTTGCTTTATCTTGATCTTAAAAGTTATGGAACTCTTGAAACTGACCTTCAGTGGCTTGCAACTCTTTCTTCCTTAAAATACCTTAACTTGGAAGGATTGAACCTTACCAAGGCTACATCCTATTGGCTTCCTGCTGTTAATATGCTCCCTTCATTAGTTGAATTGTATTTGCCCTCTTGTAGTCTTCCCATGCTTCCTCTCACTCTTCCTTCCATCAATTTCACATCCCTTTCAGTTCTTCATCTCTCTGGCAATAAATTCACCTCCACGATACCTCCTTGGTTGTTCAATCTCACTAAACTAGAGAATTTGGATTTCTCATTTAACAGTCTGACAGGAACATTGCCTGATTCTTTGGGACATCTTAAAAGCTTGAGATACCTCAACTTGTCGGATAACTCACTTCAGGGTTCAATCCCAAAATCGATTGGAAATTTAACATCTTTGGAGGAGTTTAACCTTGAATGGAATCAAATCAGTGGGATCATCCCAGAAAGTCTTGGGGAGCTCTCATCTCTGGTTTCACTTCGTATCTCTAGCAACACATGGGAAGGTGCCATTACAGAAGCTCATTTCGTGAAACTTGAAGGCTTGGAAGAAGTATCAATTGGAAATCATCCCCAAAACATTTCCTTGGTTTTCAACGTAAGTTGTGATTGGATACCTCCTTTCAAATTAAGATACTTGGAAATTAAATCATGCCAACTGGGTCCCAAATTTCCTACGTGGCTTAGAAATCAGACTCAGTTGACCAAGGTGGTACTCCGTAATGCTGGGATTTCAGGCACCATACCAGATTGGTTTTTGCAGTTGGATTTGCAATTAGATGAACTAAATTTCGCTGATAATCAACTAAGCGGCAGGGTGCCCAATTCATTAAGATTCAGCTATGCTTCCACTGTTGATTTGACTTCAAACCTCTTTGAAGGCCCACTCCCACTCTGGTCCTCAAACATTGGATGGCTGTATCTTAGAGATAATCTATTTTCAGGGCCAATTCCTCATAACATTGGTCAAGTGATGACCAATTTGACATATCTAGACATTTCTATGAACTCTTTGAGTGGAAGCATTCCCCTGTCCTTTGGTAATTTAAGCCAATTACAATTCATATTGATTGCAAATAACCTCTTGTCTGGTGAGATTCCTCATTTTTGGAACAATATACCATCATTGGGTTGTATAGACTTGTCAAACAACAGTCTCTCTGGTACAATCCCAAGATCCTTAGGCTCTCTTACTTCACTTGAGTTCTTGAGCCTCTCTAGCAACAACTTTTCAGGTGAAGTTCCTTCCTTGAAAAACTGTACTAACCTGAATATTCTTGATCTTGGTGATAACAAGTTTTCTGGACCAATTTTGGCTTCAATCGGAGAAAGCATGCCCTATTTACAGATTCTAAGCTTGAGGTCCAACTCATTTATGGGAAGCATCCCTTTAAAATTATGTGGCCTTCCCGCTCTCCATATATTGGACTTCTCACACAACAATCTTTCCGGAAATATTCCCCACTGCATAGGTAATTTGAGTTACTTGAAATCTGAGTTCACTGATGAATATAACTATGGTTACTTGGGAAGATTTGAGTTGGTGTCAAAAGGAAGAGTGTTTGTATATGATTATCTCTCCATCCTTTACCTTGTTACTAGCATTGATCTCTCGGACAATAAATTGTCAGGAGAGATACCTATGGGCCTAACAAGCCTTATAAAGTTGGGCACCTTAAATTTGTCAATGAATCATTTGACAGGAAATATCCCAGCAAATATCGGAAACTTGGAGTCGATAGAAACTCTTGATCTATCAATGAACAAACTTTCAGGTTCAATTCCACTGAGAATGGTTAATTTAACATTTTTGAATCATTTGAATATGTCATATAATAACTTGTCTGGGAAAATTCCAACGGGTAACCAGTTTCAGACCTTTGTTGACCCGTCAATTTATGAGGGCAACCCCGGTCTTAGCAGTTGTCCATTACCAATTGTTTGCCAAGACAATGAAGGACCACCTCAAGTTCCAAGTGGAGATGGAGGAGAGGATGATGACAACTGTTGCATTCCTAAAAGGACACAATTTAATGTGCAAACAACCAATTAAAAATACCCGCAAGTGCACGAATCTATCGAAGTATAGATTATGTAAGTACGGGGTCGATCCCACGAAGAACTTGCCGGCTTCCTATAAGTTTTAGTTTGAGTACGTAAAGAACACTAATTTAACACACCACAAATGCACAAATGCAAATTGGAAACTAAATATGAGTAAAGAAATGTAAAAGAAATGAAACAACAAAAGAAACCAAAGAAAAACAGAAACAGCACTTTCTATCACCCATTTATCACCTGTGAACAGTGCCGTGAACAGTGAAAAATGAACAGTGACGACCGGTCGTGAACAGTGACGACCGGTCATTTTTGGGCAGATTCATGTGCGACCGGTCGCGGAACAGTAACGACCGGTCGTTTTTGGGCAGATTCGTTTCTCTGTTTTTCCAGTTTCGACCTCTGTCCAGTGTTTTGCCTATAACTTTCCAACCGTTTATCCAAATTTCACGTTCTTTATACGGTTGGAATCAGCACAGAAAATGGAAGAACACCACGAGGACCAAAAGTCCAAAACAATTACGGAAACAAATAAAATTCAGTAACAAAGACACACCATGTGTCGAACACGCAACTCACACACACATTGGGGGGGGTTTGATTTGTTTGAAGTAACCTATTTCTATTGCATGAAAGTAAATGGACTTCGAATTTAAATGAGAATGGCAGAGATGAATTATCAAGATGTGAAATCAAAATGTAACAAA